AGCCCGGCCAGACGTGGCTCAGCAGTTGAGCATCAACCTAGGATCTAGGAGATGGCGGTTCAATTCCGGGTCAGAGCATATGCCCAGGTTGCAGGCTTGATACCCAGTCAGGGGTGTGCAGGAGGCAGCTGATCACTGATGACTCTCTCATCATTGACGTTTCAACTCTCTCTCTCCTTCTCTCTGAATCAATAAAGATATATTAAAAAAAAAAAAAGCAGTTCCATATTTTTCTTATAAGTGAAGACTAACTTGAAGAATTATAGGTCTCCCAGATTCCTTTTCTTCCTCATAATTATTCAAGTACTCATTAGAATATGTAAGACCTCTATTGGAATCTTTGCACCAGTGTTTCATAAATGGATCTAACTATTAAAGTCTAGTTATACACTCTCTTATATAAAAACAATATATTTTTGATACCTATATACTTAAAATATCCCAAAGTAAAATTAATATTTCCACACAGGAAAAGAAGAAACTATTTAGTCCCAAGCAACTTGATAACATCTCTTTCAACTATAGTTATAATTATCATGTACAAACATCCAAAGCAGAAGTTGTCAAGATTTAACATTACCATTAATATATGTCCTAACTGATGGTTATAAAAGATAATGGAAAAGCATCCATTCTCCAAAGGCAGCATAGATTGAAAAAGAAATTTCTTAATTACTACTAATCTGACCATTTTTAATTAAACTAATTAGTAATTTATTATCTTTTCCTTTCTTAGAAGGCTGTTATTATCACAGAGCTTCTCCAAAGTTATCAGTTATCAGTGATTTTTAAGCAATCCAATTACTTCTTGTGTGAATCCCACCACTTTGTAATACTGGCTTATGCTAAAACGTTAATACTCAGTTTTTTTATATGCTGAGAAAGAAATTTTAAAATGCAAAATCTGCACTCAGTATTTCATACCTCAAACTGAACACTGTCAAGATCTTAGTTGCCTGTATGGAAAGATGACTATTAAAAGTAGAACGCTTAGGCTTTCCACCTTGTTTGATAATCAAAATAGTTTTTATTAGCAGGTGTCTTCCCAAAAGGAAGAACCAAGTTCCTGTGATTTTCTTTGAAAAGTATGTGCTTCTTATGCTATCCAGAACTAAACACTAAATTACGGAATTATTCTAAGTGTTTCCCCTATTAGTATCTTTTTCAAAGAACAAATAAAAATGAAAATGTTGTGACATATAAAATAAGAAATACTTTAGTCAAACAAACTTTAAAGAAATTTAAATACTTTCCATATATTTTTAATCAAAACTCTGAACTGATATTAAGATCATCAGGATCAAATTAAAAGTATAGACTGAAGTAGTTACTTGGGACTAGCAAATTTGCATGACATGGGTTCATGACTAACTTCCGAAAAGCAGGCCCTGAAGATTAAGAAAATGAAATGCCAGAGACCCAAGATGGTGGCGGATTGAGTGGAAGCTACACTGGCACTCTCCCAGGACCAAACTGGAATTACAACTAAAATAAAGAAAAGCCATCCTGAATAATCAACTGCAACTGAAGACTAGCTGGAGAGCACCCTCACAACCAAGGCCCAAAAGTAGAGACTGCATAGACTGCTAGGAAGTGTGGAGGTGCGAGAGGGCTGGCTGGGCTCCCACAGGCAGTAGCTGAAGGTCCAGAGGGATATCTCAGCTGTGGGGGGTTCCCACTGAGAACTCTGGGGTCTAAACCCCAGGCTGGGCTCCCCAACCCAGAGAACCAGAACTGAGAAAAGTGCCCACATATTATCTGGCTGTGAAAAGCAGCAGGGTTTCTGTCTGTCAGGGAGAGATAGCTGGAAATGAGGCACCCTCTTAAAGGGCTAACACACAGTTTCATGTGTAGCCACTCACCTTGGGCTCCGGCAGAGGCAGAGTGCACTACAGCAGTGTGAGGAGAATCCAGAGGGCTGGCTGGGGGGAATATATCTCAGAGGGAATCCATCTGGACCCCAGTGCTGGGTTATTTTCCCATACCGCAAAGGACATCTTTCTCAGGCAGACATTTACCTTCCAAGCAGCTTTTGCCTAAGGGGAAAGCAATTGCCCAACCCTGCTGGAAAACCTGACCCCACCCTGTGGAGTGTCTACAGCCTGAGACTTCTTAAGAAACTGATAAAAATCAGGCATGCCACCTGTGGCTCTTAAGAAAGTGAATAAATCTGGACCTAGGACTTAGAAAAGCAGGCCTTGGTGCAAATCTTGGTTCTGTCCAAACACACCCAGCCCCAGCAGAGGACACCACAAGCTGTGGAGTGTGGAAAACTTCAAACAGGGCACTCAAGGCCAGTCACAAACAGCGCCTGACATTGTCTTGCACCAGAGACCATCCAAAAGGCAGGGAATCCTAGCAGATCTACCTAATACACAGAAACAAATTCAAACAGGCAGTCAAAATGGGGAGACAAAAAAACAAGCCCTAAATGAAAGAACAAAAGAATTCTCCAGAAGAAAGGCTAAATGAAATGGAGATAAGCAATATATCAGAGATAGAGTTCAGAATACTGATCATAAAGATGCTCAACAGCATGAAAAAAGGTATAGAAACTATGAAGGAAATTAATGACATAGTTGAAATAAAAAAAACATTGGAAGGAATGAACAGCACAGTAGGGGAAGCAGAGGATTGGATCAGCAAATTAGAAGACAGGGTAGAAAAAAAAATTACTCAAAGAACCAAAAAGAAAAAACAATTAAAAAACAGGAGGACAGTCTAAGGGAGATGTGGGACAACATAAAACATAACAATATTTGCATCACAGGAGTGCCAGAAGAGGTCGACAGTAAGCAAGGGTTAGAGAACCTGTTTGAAGAAATAATGGCAGAAAACCTCCCTAACTTGGTCAAGGAAAAAGTCACACAAGTTCAGGAGGCACAGAGTCTCCCAAGCAAGAACCCAAAAAGGCCCACGACCAGGCACATCATAATTAAAATGCCAAAAATCCAAGACAAAGAGAGAATCTTGAAGACAGTAAGAGAAAAGCAATCTGTTACCTACAAAGGAGGTCTCTTATACACATCTAGATGTGTATAAGAGACAGCCCAGATAGATNCCTACAAAGGAGCTCCCATAAGGCTGTCAGCTGATTCCTCATCAGAAACTCTACAGGCCAGAAGGGAATGGCATGAAGTATTCAAGGAAATGCAAAACAAGGATCTGAAACCAAGACCACTCTATTGAGCAAGGCTATCATTCAAAATAGATGGTGAAATAAAGAGCTTTCCAGACCAAAAAAGGCTAAAGGAATTTATAACCACAAACCAGCATTGCAAGAGATGTTAAAGGGACTGCTGTAATAATGAGAAACACAGGCATAAAGAAATAAAATGGCAATAGATAAGTACCTATCAATAATAACCTTAAATATAAATGGATTAAATGTCCCAATCACAAGATACAGGGTAGCTGAATGGATAAGAAAACAAGACCCAAATACATGCTATCTACAAGAGACCCACCTCAGAACAAAAGACTCACACAGGCTGGAAAAAACAAAAAAAACTTCTGGAGGACTTTAAAGGAGAGATCGACAGCACTACAGTCACAGTAGGGGACTTTATCACCCCACTGACTTTACTGGATAGATCTTCCAGACAAAAATCAACAAGGAAACACTGACTCTAAATGACACACTAGATTGCCGGGCCAGGCATGGCTCAGCGGTTGAGCATCGACCTGGGATCCAGGAGATTGAGGTTTGATTCCAGGTAGGGGCACATGCCTGGGTTGTGGGCTCGGTCACCAGTTGGGGGTGTGCAGGAGACAGCCGATGGATGACAACTCTCTCATCATTGATGTTTCTATCTCTCTCTCTCCCT